ACTTGGGAAATGTAAATAGAGAAAGATAGCTGGCTGCTTCCCAAGACCATTTGTCACTCAGATCCCGCTTCCCAGGGCTAAGCTGTTCACTTCCACCTGGCCCACATTATCACTGAATCTTTGCAAAGTCTATGTTTGGCATGGTCATATCCAAGAATTGTATGAAACCTTCTGACAGCCCATATTTCATTAGTTTTTGTTCTATGACATTATTACAACTTGATGAAAAATCATCAGCCATTATTAGAGGAAGTAAATCTGGGGAAAAAGAACTGGAGCTCTAGCTAGTAGTTTAACATCATCCTTCATGCCCTAACCTCAATTTTAGGTATTCTTGTTTCCAACCTGAAAAGGGTATACACTACCATCCACTAGCTAACTATATTCAGTGTGTTGTGCAAACTTAAACATTCAGTGAATCAAGCAAACCATGGATAAGTATCATATGAACACACATCAAGGATGAATTAGTGAGAAGCAAAGTGGTGCCTAGATAGACAGAAATGGATCCTCACCAGACAATGCCTGGAGATGTCCTCAAGAACTTTCATTTCTCTCTTCTCTGTTGTTTTAGGAAAGGTGGGGATATAAACTGATATCACATCTGTTTTATAGGATTAGGAGAATGAGTGGCACCACAAACCATAAGGAGAAATTAGGTTGAAGTGGAAAGTGGAAGAAATTCATATAATTGTAGGAAGAGCAGACTAAGCCTGAGTTGATTTGACACATTGACTAATAGACTGCCTAGCAACATTTTAATCTAGCATATAATCCAAGTATATTCCATGTAGTTAGATTATGGTTCAGTGTACAGTATCATACAAATCCAGAAAATTGGATTGAGCAAGTTGCGGCTAAGTTGATCATGGGTGAATGAAGAATTAACAGAGAACATAAAGTGGAGGTTCATAAAGAGCTTTCTTCACTAGCAATCTGTAATGTAACTCAGCCCTTATTGTACAGTACATCCTACTACTACCCGATATGCTGTTCTCTTACTGCTATCCTGCATGCTAACAAAAATGTTTTGTTCTGACTAATGTGCGTATGTCTGTCAAGAAGAGACTATTGTGCAGTTCTGACTGGGCAATAAGTAGCTCATGGAATATATTTCCTACCCTCCATCTTAAGATATAGGCATTTCCTGGGGAATCTACCAGTAATTGACCAAGGTTGAGCTGATCACATAAGTGCAGGAGAGGAAGCTCATTGAAGTTTACACACCATTACTTTATAAAGCATCAACTTTAGCAGAAAAAGCTGGCTATTTTCCAGAATGGGGCAGATTTGCATAGATTGCTTAATATCTGGGTGAGAAATGAGACAGGGCTAATCCCGTGTGGTCAAGGGTGGTCAGGCTCTTCTGATGGCAATATAAACTGCCATTGGTGAAAAGCTCTAAAACATGACTGGAAATAGTGATTGTGTGGTTTTGAAGAATGAGTAGCTGTGAAGTACTCTGATTTTTTCAGAGCTATACAATGCTAACAGGAAAAAAAGGTGCAGAAGATTAAGAAGCAAAAGCACAAAGAGGAAAGGTGGATTTGAAATATCCGTTCTGAGAATGGCAAGAATTCAGCATAATGTACCTGCTCAAGAGTTTGGCGATGGCTCCCAGGCAGGCAGCAGCGTCTCTCGTCACCATAGCAACAGGGCAGGCAGAGGGATCCAGCCCTGGCCAGCGTGTCACTTCTTTCCCCTGCCCACTGCGGTTTCCCCTTTTTGTGCAGTCAGATAACGTGCTGTCTTCTGTTTTTGCAACTGGACTGAAGAACTGAAGAGCAGGAACCTTACAATTGAACTACATTTTGGGAATACAGTACAAGCTTGGCCCGACAAATAATGCTTTCACTTTCAATGCTTGTTTTCTAAAATGGCAGGGCTGGTGAAGATAATGAAATTGATCAGTGGTGCTCACATTTTCCAGTTTACATACGTCAAGAAGGGTAAGATGACTGGTCCCTTCTGACATTGATTGCTTCTCTGTTTCAGAGCATTATTCTTCAAGGATTATCCTTTGAAATTTGCTAAATGTCTGAAGGTTTATTTGATTCTGGAAATTAATTAATGCCCAGGGCATTTAAAATATAGTAGAAAGGGGAGAGAAGAATCCTGTAATCTATCATTACTGGTCAGCTGATAATTAACCTTTTTAGCAAGGAGGAAGTATATTATATTTAATTTATTGGAACGTATGTAAACAGGATTATGGTATAAATAGGTCATGCAGGGGAGAAGAACTTAAACACTTTTAATATAATATACAGCTCTCACTGTTAATAGCCTGCATTTTGTCCACCTATGAAAATGAATAAGGAACACCTAATCCTTGAATTTCAGATCAAATTACTGGCAATAGAAATTGCCACAACCATTTGAATCTTGATTATATTGGTGTATCAAACAGCTATAGTGTCCAAATTCACCTCTACAGATTTTACTGGATCCTTCATAAGTATGTATGAATTGTGTTAGGTAGGCCAGAGACTCACCTAGACCAGATTTCTGATTTTACAGAGCTAAGAGATGCTTGCGGGAAGCTCACAATCAAGGCAGGAACACCACAATCCCTGTCATATTCCATTCCTAGCTGATAACTGATTCGGAGAGATACAAGTAGAATAATTTGCCCACATAGTTCCTAGTTTATTCTGGCTAATAGAAATAAATTAGAGACCTAGCTTCTTCTGATAAGGTAGTGTTGTTTCAACTTGTTTAAAGAAGGTAATGGTAATATCACTACTGAAATATCATTATCTTGATTCCTATGATCTTTGGAACTGCAGAACATTACCCAATCAAGAAGATGGTCTACTCCTTCTGAGATGGTGATAATCCATATCAGTCTGGTTTCAGGTCACAGTTCAAACTATTTTAGTTCCCTTCATGGATGTCCTAAACTGCAAGAAGGAATTTATTTACTTACTGACTATTCCAGTTTTTATCCTGCCTTCCTCCCCTAATGGAACTTCACGCAGTTTGCAATCTTAACTTAAAATATCAAACATAGAAACTAAATAAAAACAATTAACATTACAGTATAATTAATGCAAATAGAGAATAGAAAAAAATGAGCTTTTTTTTGGTAATCATAGAATAAGAGATAATTTTGCAATTGTACTTATATTTGCTGCAAAGGAAATCGGAAGCTTCTTCTATTTTATTTTACTTTTTTCCTGCCCTTTTGCTTTTTCTTTCTTCTCTCCTTTCTACTATTTCTACTCTCTATTAGTTTGTGTCAGTTTTTACATGCTTTGTAAAACTTTTAATAAAAAAATTATTAAAAAAAAATTAATTATGCAAATTCTTTAAAAGCCTGGCTGCAATACCTTCTGAACATATGATTTGATTCTCCAGGTTCTCTTGCTTTTGAAACAATCAACCATGTTGGCAGTTGAGGAGACAGGCATTGGACATTGTGATCTACTTATTCTTTGCTGAGAAGTTCCATTGTTCTTGTATCCAAACAATCTTAATTATCCTTAACATCCATTTGAAATCATTGAATGAGAATTTTTAGAGTTTTGGAGCAGCTTCTCATTAGGTGTATGTATATATATTTCTATTTGTTTCTCTTTTTCCATTTGAACCCTGTGAGACAGACTTTCCAGGATTCTTTTTTAAGGTTGGAAATGGATTTGTAATACATTTTAAACTCAGTCTAGATAAGGCTGTTATTTGTGATGGGCTATGCTAAGAAGAGAAGACATCCTTGTTAGTATTTATTATAAAACAAAGTAAACAGATAGGATACAAACTATTACAATATTGTATAAACTGATTAAGCTTCATTAGTTTTATACCATGGCTAAAAATTGTAATTTTTTTTTAAAAAATCATCCTTTATTTAAAGAAAAACAAAACCAGAGTCATATCATTTGATGGATACTCCATTTTGATACTTTTAGAATTGGCACTTGAGCAGAAAACTGTATTTACTTCAGGTACCACAGGTAACTTTGTCTCAGTATTAGTTTCCATATTTCTGGGTCATTGCATATTTTTGTGAGGGAATATGGGTCTGATATTTTTATATGTTGTAAACATACACAGATATACAACCAAAAACATTGAAATGGGGTAAAATGGAGACTTGAAATACTGGGAATTACAATGACCTGCAAGTACTAGGTAAAGTAAAAGTCTCCTTCCAGTTAAGCTCAACTGCTAATGATTTCCTGGCAATAGTATGGAAGTGGTTTACCATTGCCTTTTTCTAGGATAGTTTTTGACTTCTTAGGCTACAGCCCTGGTATTTGCTGGTAGTCTCCATCAAAAACTAACTAGGCCAAGCCCAACATAGCCCAGACAAGGTCAGCCATGTGGTATCACTTGTGAGGCATCAAATATTGATATATGCAATGCCCTGGAGAGGCAGAATAATCAAGTGTTTGAATTATTCATACCACATAATTATGTCAAAGATTTGACCATTGTAATTCTAAGCACATAAACAATTTTTTAAATAAAATATTACATGTTACAAAGAAGTTGTATACGTGGTTTTCATTAACAATATCAATCTTCTTCAGACTTCATGTTCATTTTTTCCCCCTGCAGTAATAATTTATCTGGTCTTGAATCAAACCCTGAAATGGTAATTTGAGTTTATCAGTTCAAATATCAAATTGCTCACTATCACTACATTTTATTTAAAGGAAGAACTGCAGGTACACAATTCAGATATTATCTTTAAGAATGAACCACATACCAAAGATCAAGGACAAATTCTATACAGTTGTTTCTGTAACCAATAAGGGAGTAAGACTTTATGTTATGTTAAGTTATGGTTTACTTCCATAAACTACCTTATCTTAAATCCTACAAAATCTATTTCACACCAAAACTACTGTGTTATTTTCAACACAGAACAAGATTATGTTTTCTAGGTTCCAAGGATAAAAAGATAAAGACTCCCTTGAACTGAGCTTAACTCTTGATGATTACATGGATACTGCCATACCATTTTCTTGGCAATAACTGTCTATATTAATCATTGGCACTTTTTGCATACTATCTAAGAATATAATTTTCATAATTTTCACATTTTTTACATATCTGGAAAAGACACTTTTGTACAACTCTACTGAACTGTATTAGGGCTGATTTGATGGCATATATCTGAACAAGAAAGAGTGGTAAGCATATTGTGGTAAGAGTGGTAAGTAACATGTATACATGTTAATAACACTACATACACACAGTCATATTAATAGCACACTGCACTACATAAAATACAATAATTTTGTATTCATTTAATGGAAGATTCTAGTATTTCCTGGTAATCCTGTTTTTTAAAGTTCTTCCAAGATAGTTTATAACACGCAAGGAAAAGTATGCTAATAATGATAACAGCTCCTCCAACCATATCATAAACACTGGGGAATATGTGGAGTACAAGGAGCTGAAGAATCATGGCTATCACAATCTCCAAATGTTGTACTGTGCTAACCAATGCTGGATGGAATTTGCTCAAAGCATAATAGACACCAAGAAAAGCCACTGTGGAACATATACAGATGCCAATGAGATAGCTCCAGCTTTCTCCATTCAATGGAATGATTGGCTCTTGAAGGAAAAACATAGTTGAGGCTCCCCATACTGTTCCAGTCCAACCAAAAGTAAATAATGCTGTCCACATGCTGACATTATCCTTAAGTGACCTATATACTATCATGGAGAGAGCCGTGGTTAAGCCTGCCATAACTGTCATTGTATACCCAAAGACTTCCTTCCAGATATTTAACAGAGAATTTTCTTCATCAACAATGTTGGGGATCATGACCAAACAAACACCAAAGATACTACTCACTACAGTAATTATATCAATATAAGCCATGCGCTCATCCACTAGTAAAAATGCTAAAATGGCACTGAAAACGGTGGTGGTAGCTCTCCACATAATAGTCCCATTGCTTGGGGGAACAATTGCAAAGGAAGTATAAGCACAGGTAATGGAAATAACATTACATACTCCATAGAAGAATAGTCGCAATCTATGGCCTTTTGGTCCAAAAGGATCTTCACGGTAATAACACACAACTAAAACAGAAAACACTTGTAAAACAGAACGAATAAAAATCAATTCAAGAGATGGCACTTTGGAACGATCAGCAGCAAGTCTGGTTATCAGAGCTACACAACCATGGGCCAAAGCAGATCCAAAAAGCACAGCCCAAGTTTTTCTGGACTGAAAAATGCTTCCATCTACAAAATCTTGGCCTTGTCCATTCTTGTTGACTTCTAACTTCTGTCCTGTCTGAAATGGAATATCAATTGTTCCAAAGAAGGACCTTCCTGTTCGTTGTCCATCACTCAATAATCTTCTTTTTGGATTATCTTCTATAAAACTCTCATTATCTTCATTAGATTCCTCATACTCCTCTTCTCCAGGCTGTGGATAATGAGAACTATATTTCACTGTCACAGTGTTGGGATGAATTTTTACTCGTTTTTTCACTGGATATTGTTTGGAAGAATCCATTTCATCAGCTAAGTAGGACTGATTGTAAAGAAAAACAAATATATGTATATATATATATATACTTGATAAACTTGTTGCACATCTAGATTATTTAGAGTCATCCTAACTCATTAATGTTCTATCGGCATCCTAGGTAAACTGAAGTATTTTCAGAAGAAATGAAAGGTGTTGTTCTAAAACCCAGTATAGAAAATCAGTTGTGAGGGGAGAGTCTACATCATCATAATAAATGCATTTGCTTTTTTTGGGGGGGGGGCCTTCAAGTCAGTGTTGACTCCTGGCAACTGCCTGGACGAGTCCCTGCAGTTTTCTTGGCAAGATTTCAGAAGTGGTTTGCCACTGCCTACTTCTTAGGGCTGAGAGTGACTGGCCCAAGGTCACCCAGCTGGCTGTGCCTAAGGCAGAACTAGAACTCATGATCTCCTGGTTTCTAGCCTACTACCTTAACTACTACATCAAACTGCTAATTTAGACACTTTAAAACATAGGCTTGGTATTTATCTTTCTTGCTACATCTACAAAGTTTCCTTTTATGCTTTCAAATATTTTATATTTGTAGTTCAGGAAATGATTGAACCTGATGGGGTTTTAAAATCTAATTAGAATATTATTAATTTTGCTTTGAATCTGAATGTAAATCAGTTTTGATGCCTACATGTAACAATTCAGATTGTGCCACCAAAGATATTTTGACATAGTTAGGATCTTTAGATATGTGTAACTGCATTGGGGGCAAGCACCAAACAACATTGTATAGTTACAATGGCTTCTTGGAAACGTGTAGATATTCTTTGCATTAAAACATGAGAGCTGCTGGATCACACCAAAGCCCTAATCAATGCTGGATCTTGTTTCCCATCAGATGCCCATGGAAAGCATAAAACGGACCTATTTCACTGTTTTTCCAGGATCTGATGTTCCAAATTTTAAGAGGCAGCATATATCACCATTGCTAGTAGCCATTGATAAGGGTGATACATCTTAAAATGCCCATTGTGCTCAAATATTTTAGGTTTTAAAAAAAATTAGATTATATTCTTGTCACTATGTTAATACAGCCATCTCTTTAGCATCTAAAAATGTTGAATATACAAGTCATTAGGTTCTATTCCCTCTCTACCTGTTTTCACATCAGGCGATAGCTTTAGCTGGAGTAGCTTTTCTAATATTCTGGTGCTGACCTGTGCTTCCAAACTATTATGCTATCCTTGATTGGTTTGAAATGTTAATATAAACCACTGATCGTGATTTACATGAATTACTTGTTTGTCAATGTATTCAAACCCAAGCATTACTGTTTATAAGTTCAAGCTTAACATTTATAAACTAACAATATTATCTTTACGATTTGGCAACATTGTACCAGCAGCTCAATTAATTGTATTTTGGTTTTGGTTTTATTGTTAAAAAATACAGATTAACTTCAGTCTTTCAGTTTGCTTGAACTCTCCCTCACCTCCCTAACTGTGAAATATTTATAGGAGATAATATGTTATTAGAAAGTTATGAAATGTTAAAGAAATAAGAATTATGAAGAAAAAAAATGCCAGCCTCTCTATCAACTGAAAATAAGGAAGAAAACACACTTTGAGCTAGTAAATATCAGAGAGATTTCAGTATCATTGATTCTTAAAATGATAGAAACAGGATGTTCCTTGAGAACATAATTCCAGGCTACAGTATTAGCTGATTACTGCAATTTGTTTAAATTACAGTAAATCATAGTTCCTTATGAAATCCATTCAGTTTGAAAGATGTCACTTTAAAATTGCATACACATTAATAGGAGAGAAAGATTTTGCATAAATAGACATTGACAGTCAAGAATTAAATTTGTTATGCAAGAAGAGAAAGCAGAATACAATCAAAACTGGAAAAATAATCTTTTACCTTTTGTTAGAGGACGTTGTATAACAAAATATCCAAAGACCAAATAACATTAAGGACAGGGAATCTGCTGTCCAATGTTCAGCTGTGTATCCATTTCTGTCTTCTAAATTCACAGAAAACAGGCCTGAGCATAGTTGTATTTGGATCCAGAGGAACTGGAAAGTCAGAAACAGAGCCAAATGTTGTCAATTCTGGGAATGCTCAGCAGCAGTAATATGGATCTTTTTGCTACCTCCTCATCTGCCTGCACAGAAGAAGAGAGGAGAATACAGCTAAAGAATCAAATGCAGGGAACAGATTAGGGGAAAGTGAGCATGCTCAGCAGAGCTCAAGGGCATTTGACAACACCTTCATTTTGGACTGCAGAGTGAAATCGGTATTGCTCTTACTAGTTATTCTGGCAGTGAAACACATGTTTAGCTGAGATGCTACCTATTGATCAATAGCGGGACTTTCCTGAGCTAAACATTACTGAGAAAGATTGAAAAAAGGGCTGCTTAAGACAATTACTGATTTGTCCCTCCTGGTCAATTGGTTAATACAGTGAATGGGATGACTCAATACTCTTTTCTCTTGCTATAGTCTCACCAAAAGCAACAGGATTGTACCAAAGTGCTGTGAGGCAATTAATCTTAGTCCTTGAGAAAAAGCTTAATCCTAAAGACTGACATGGCCTTCAAAAACTTCTATATGCAAAAACTGCCTGCCCTTGATTTTCATTTGCCTCATCCATATACAATTATTCATCAATTATTTGTTATTAACAGCATAATCCACATAAGCTATTCAAAAATACCATTGAATTCAGTGGGTTTACTCTCCCACATATATAGGATTTCAACCTCTCAGTACAATGCAAACCAGTGATTTGGACACTGTAAAATCAAACATTGTTTTTTAAATTATTTATTTAAACATTTCTATACTACTTTTCATTCAAATAAATATCAGAATGGTTTTCTATTAAACATTACAAATAATAAAAATAATGAACTAAAATAATACAACCATACAGTAAGACATTTTAATTAAATAAACAATGATAAACAGTAACATAATAACAAAATGTAAAAATAGTAATAAAAGTAAAAAAATCACAGCAACAATTAGCACATTATTAGGTGGCCTTGAAGAACAATAATTCAAGGTCTAGCATTGATAAGACAGCAAGGATGGTTCCAGACTTGTTGGGAAGGGGATTCCAATGTTGGGGTGGTAACACCCATGAAAAGGCCTGCCCCGGATGGCCACTGACTGCATGTTCTCTGAAGATGACCTTGACTTATGAGTTGGAAAATACAGCAAGAAGCTTTCCTTCAGAGACTTTGGTCCAAAGCCATGAGTGCAGGGTAGGGTGGGAGCACAGTGATGTAATGTGCTTCATAACATCACAACACAAACCCTGCAATTTAACTACCTGCATTCAGATGTCAGAACTCAAGTACACATGGGCAAGGTATGCACTGTGACATCATCACACGTGTTGACATTTTCCTGTCATTGTAGCTTGCTGCAGATGCCTACAGCTGTGATATTTTGACTTAATATGCTGTGCAAACCCAGCAGCTGTGGTCTGTTCAATAAGCCGTATCTTAGTATGAGTGAAAACACAGTCTGTTTCAGGTAAACATGAACAGCCTTATTATTTCTTCTTTCTTCTTTTAAGTTGTATTACTTGACTGCCAGTCCTGTCCTCTAGCCCACAACATCCAAACTCACTAGAATAACAAGACTAGATAGCAACTCTGTAGTAGTAACTGCAGCACCGTCATCTGCTATATTCTAGCAATACGGATGTATCAGTAACTTTTAGAGAGTTGATGTACCCCAAGTCAGTTTCTCCCAACACACATAACGTGGGTTCAAAATGAACCGGAACGTCCTTTCTGCAGACAAACGGTTCTTCCGAATTGACAGTTACGGTTGCACTGTCAATTGTTAATTGCCAATCACGGTCACAGAGACGGCGGCAACGCTCGCTACACAGCACAAACCCCGCGGTAGCCTAGCTTGCCTCAGTACAGTACAGAGGGAGGGAAACCCGACACGTCTGGAAGAGGACAGAATGGGAAGGGCCGGCCGAGAATAAGCCTCATTTGTTTGAAACCTAGGATCTTCTGAGAGGATAAACGGGAAGCCAAAGGTTAATCCGTCATCTTCCATGGCTAATCTCCAAAATCAGACGGAAGCAGCAGCCCAATGAGCGCGAAGCAAACAAATTGTCGGCGGCACCTTACGGGAGCAGGGCGGGATTAAGGAGGTTGGCCGTCGCCTGGAGGAGAGAGAGGGCTTGTCAGCGCATGCGTCTTCCCTGTCTACTCAGTCATGGCTGCTTTGCGGGCGACTACTTCCTTACTTCTCTCGAGAGTTCCGCTGAGAGGTTGCCGCTCGTTTAGCAACAGCAGCCCCCGGAGCCGAGCCGTTACGGTGCCCGAGCGTATCGAAGAGAAGCGTCGCGCTGCGTTGCTCGGAGGCGGTCAGGCCCGCATAGATGCACAGCACAAGCGGGTGAGCGAGCGCCTCCTTTCCTGTCGTTGCAGGCGAGGGAAGCCCTTGCGTGGCCGGTGGCAGCTGGCTGCTCCCTGGTGTGCCGTTTCAGTGATTTCGAGGAAACCTTTGGCCTTGGCCGGGGCTAAGAGGATACCACTCGGGGACCATTGAAAAGTCATGACCTATAGTTCCCTCCCCATCCCGCCGCCATTCCTCCTGCCATCCAACCGAGGTAGAAAAGAGTCCGACATCTTTGCCCGCCACAGCCGCGGATTTCACCACCGCGGTGTCAGGTCGTCACTCTTGTTTTCCCTATTTAATTAAAACCACGGATGCGAGGAAGAAAATCAGCTTGTCTGCCGCTTCGCTACAGTTGGCAATTTGTAGAGTTACTGTGCAAGGTCAGGAAGAGGTCCAAAGAGGCCACCTTAAAGTGACCTTTCTCACACTGTATTTACAAAACGACATTGAATTATTGCTGTCAGATTCCGACTTCCAAATCAAATAGTTGTTGTGAGGTTTGTAATCTGATTGAATAGAGCTTCATTTATCCTTCAGACTTCACCTTTCATTTCTCAGAATTAGTGCAACACAAACAGACAACAGATAAAACGAGTGTCATTAAGCATGACTGGAAAGCCTATGTCTTGCAAAACCTTCAGGACAGTCCTGCATTATATAATTATGCTCCCAGTTTACTTTGGAACTGGAGATACATAATGTTGGAAATACAGTAAAAATGAAATGTATTTTTAAATAAATACATAATCAAAGAATGGATATCTCTGCAACAAAATATTGTAATGGCTACTAACATCATTGCCTTTTAACAGTTTTTCATATAAGACACATAAGATTATTTAGCCATTTTAGCTAAAGAAAATCTTGTTGAAAAACATATGTATTTCCAACTGGCAGGTGCTGGCCACAGACACTGGACTAGCTATTGTGATCAGATGTGTCTGGCTGGTCATTCCTTGAGATAGAATGGATGAAAGTATAGATGCTAAACCATGATTTTCCCCTACATACATAAACAGCTATGTCTTTTGGGCCTTCCTGTTTCTTTAACTCCTGGGGCCCTGCTCTCTTTTTAACCTCAATCAGACATATCTGGTTAAGGCAAAGTGTTTTTACCACTCTTAGTACCCAAGGTTAGCTTATTTAACATGCCTGTATCTTCCACCCTCTCTCTTTTGTGAGGGATGCAAAAAGGACAGAAGGTCTGGGATTTTCCACACTGTCTTGTGTGACTCCTTTGTGTAAACTCACTGAAAATGAAGCTGGCTAAAAAAAAATGCCTTTCCAAATTGTAACTCTCCTCTGCTTTGATCACAATGATTCTGTAGTGTTCTGTCTGGGCTATCCTTACTTATGGCCCCAAATCAGTGGATTTCCTGCTTCTTTACCTTTCTCACCTGTGCTGAAAGAGCAAACCAATTGCTTTTCTTTCTGTGGGAGGTTCTTTGAGGAGATGTGGTGCTCATTGATAGATGTTTTGCATGAGGCCTTCTTACTTGCCCTTGTGATTGACATCTTTCTGTCTGGTGCATCCTCTGAAAAAACGAGGTAAAAGATAAAACAAGGTAAAAACAAGATAAAACAAGGTGAAAATAAACATCATTTTACTATTTTTCTTGTCACTTTCGCTAGAAAGGAAACTACCAGAATTTTTGTCAGCTTCACCTGGTTAAAAGAAGAAAACTTGGTTTCATTGTTCCATCAGTGAACACGTAATAAATAAATAAATCTGGCCTTTCACTCTCTGTCAGTCTTTGACTCTTTTTCTACCCAAACTCATAATTAGTCAGTGGGAATGAAAATAACAAAACTCAAGTGAGTAGCTGAATGGAGCAAAAGTGAGAGGGAGAAGTGAGTGGAAAACACTTGAAAGGCTCACTGTTTACCCAGTCCACCTATTAAATGAAGGAAAAAAATCAGATCACTAGTCAAGGTCCCTTCAGAAGGGCACAGACAGCCTATGAAAAAATGGCAGTGAAGGGCACTGACCAGTGATTGGAGGGGAAGAGTCATTCCTGCCATAGCACACAATAGTCAGTTGGAGTTGCTTGCCTACAGTGAAATAAAATACAGCTTATGAACTGGACAGCAGTGCTTGAGGTGGTACAAACTGGAAAACACTACTTTTGATATGTAGCAGGAAAAGTCAGATGGAAGTTACCTTTTTGGTGGGCTGGGGAAGATTAAAGAATGACACCATGCATTTCTGCCTTTGAGAAATAATGAGTGGGGCAACTTGGTTGTGCAAATTAGCACTCTGTCCACAGGGTTTCCAGTCTTGATCAAGCCAATATTGATTAAAAAACGTTCTTTTGAAATTGTAAAATAAAAAAGGAAAACAAAAAAAGGAAGTGACTGTGAGATGCTGCAAAGGACCCTAAGATGCTGCCAGTGATCCCTACTCCTGGTACAACACCTCTATTGCCCTGGGTCTTTTCTTTTTTAATTGTTCAGAAACATTAAGTCAACTCTCCTTTGAATTACATTTAACTTTAAGAGACTACATGGACATATCTGTGTTGTTTCTTGGCAATAAACTGGGTTTGTATTGCCATTTGGTGCTTTTTTAACTTCTTAAATCAGGTCTACACCTCTGGGATTTCTTGATGGATTGTCATTCAGATCCAACTCTGTTTAGATTTTTCAAGATCAGTCAAGGTTGGCTAGGTGGTGCCATCTGCTGTGACATGGAGCATGCAAGAGGACTTTAGGGGGATGTGAAGGTATAGTTCCTGCATTCATTTCAACTTTGACTGCACCTTTTATTTACTTTTCTTCCAGCATATTTAAAGAAGCAGTATGAGTTGGCTGACTGGGATATCAATCAAAATGGAAGGCAGCCAGTGGTTTGCCAAGTGTCTAGTATGTGATGTATGGATGAGCACAAGATCAGATTAATATATTTTGCAAACATTCTGTCTCTCTCTGTTTCTTTGATTTAGCCTGCCACGATAAAAATGCATATGCATTATGTGATATACAATAGTAATGAAAAAATTAAGGGCTTATCCCTCTTTCTAAGGATGACTTTATCATGCTCTACCTCTGCTCAAAAGTGATCTGTCATTTGATACGAATTCTGTTGTAAAATGTTAGTCATATTGTAAAATTAATAAGATTTCTTTGGTGGCTGGCTTTTTCTACTTAACCAGTCTATTGTATCATGTGAAAAAAGGTCTAGCTGTCGTGTTCTTCAGAGAACGAATTTATGGGTATGAATAAGACCTTAAATTGGGGATTGTTATTGAGTGTATATTTCTTACTACTTTTAGCTTTATTTATTTATTTGTATAAATTTATATAAATATGCTATTATGTTAAGGACAAGGCTGTTTAATGTTTTGTTTGTTTGATTGTTTTTCAGGGAAAGTTGACAGCCAGAGAGCGTATTCTACTGTTATTGGACCCTGACAGTTTTGTAGAATATGACATGTTTGTGGAACACAGGTGTGCCGATTTTGGGATGGAGGCTGACAAAAACAAAGTATTGGACTTTTTTGTTTTATGTTTTAATTAGATTCCTGGACTCTTTGTGAGTGGGAAACATTGACTGATATAGTGCCCTGATTCTCATCTCTTTGCTACTACAAATGGAGCTATCTCCACTCTATGCATTTGAAATAATTCTCTAGATATTTCACAGAATTAATGAAAGATGTTTAGATGTTTTCCCCAGCCCATAAACAATGTGTTTTATTCACTTCATAATCTGCTGGGTGCATGGTAATTATAGAACTGTTAAAGGATCAAGGTTAGATATAGATGCAGTACGTACTCTTTGTAGTTGCTTATTTTGGTTATAACCACTTGCATTATGTAAGTCATGTCAGTTTATTAATTATACCTTAATTGTTTTGTTTTGCAGTATCCTGGGGACAGTGTGGTAACTGGCCAGGGTAGAATTAATGGGAGACTGACTTACGTCTTCAGTCAGGTATTGGTGTTTGCCTTATGAATTATGAATATTTTGAAATATTGTTTTCATAATTTCTCCAGTTTGACTAATTTCTTTTCTTTCAGGCATCAAAAGTACTGCTTTTGCTCCCATATCTTATGCAGAATGCTATTAAGAAGGAATAATATAACATGTATAATATGATAATTTCATACATAGGTTGTGATCTAGCTCTGTGTAGATGGAATTAGCATGTCTCTTCTGTCTAACCTCTTGCTTGTGTTCAAGTAATTTGCAACTGGGCAAAATGGAAGAACTGGATATAGGAAGTGTGCACTGACATTGTTTTGTTCTGGAAGTAATTGAGTTGTGATGCAAGTTTGCTTGTTGTATGTAATGAAATGCAGAAACTGAGCTCTTTTGACTGTGTCTCAATCTTTTGATGGTGGCATGGGCAGGAATGCTCTTATAGGAATGGTTCATACTCATAGCCTTAAGGACAAGACCTGCTGCTATATTTTCCATTGTATTTTAATATTTCTTCAAAAATAAGAATAATGAAGAGTAATTAAGTTATTTTACTTAATATTGAAATTAATGCTAAGGGACATATAAAAAACAAAATACTAAATCTAGTGTGTGTGTGTGTGTGTGTGTATGTGTGTGTATTTACATGACAAGCTATTTTGATATTTGTATTTTAAAACATTTCTATTTGATCTTAAATTTTTAGGACTTTACTGTGTTTGGAGGAAGTTTATCTGGAGCACATGCTCAAAAGATCTGCAAGGTAAACTTATAGGCAGTGCAGGTAGCCTGTCAACTAAAAAATCTAAGTGAGTTGTCATATAGTTTAAATATATAGGCATTCTAATATATTTATATAAATATTTCTGGTAATCCTTCCCAGATTACAGTAATTCACCTGTTAAAATTGTGGGTACTCCACTTGTGGGATATTTGCTTAGCAGCTTTTTTATTTTGGGGGGGACGAGGGCACGGGTCAAAGACCATTTTGTTTCGTAAAAGGCTTGCAAATATAATTTTAATGTAGATATGGTTGTGATCCTGTGACCTTTTATGTTACTAGATTATGTAGTATTTATTAATAGCTTAGCAAAACATAACGTTAAAACGCAATGTGAAAATATTGATATTGAATTAATTGGGCTGATGTAACCCCTTCTTTGCGGTTCCTCCAAATTTAGCAGTTAGGTTTTACATGGGGCAATCAGCTACCAGACCCTCAAGAGTTACTTCTGTCCCACCTCTGGTAAAATAAATGCTGAAATTTGTTAAAAACAGTGGAAAAACACAATCTTTTGTAGTTTTGGGGGAAGGGGGGATGCTGTCTGCCTCATTGCTTAAGATAAGTAGGGTGGAAAACTGCTGAGCATGGATGTAGCTGGATCAAATTATGATGTCAAAATTATTCTTTCTTATAAACTCCCTTGAGAGTAAGATTGAAGAATGGTATAAAAGTATTGCTGTAATAATGAATCATACATGTTTCATTACTAATATTATTTAATACATATTAATTATGACTGTCTTGAATGCTTACATTATAGAACCTCAAATTCTTAACAAATATTCAGATATTTAGAAATCTGTGAATTAAATGTTAAAGCTAACTGAATATTTAAATAATTATGAATCTCTTTTGAATCAAGCTTGAATATATCCACATAGTTTTCTTGGCAACATAGATGCAGTAGCACAGTTTAGTAGTTTAGAAGTTGGACAAGTCCATGTTCAACCATGAAGTTCACTGAGTGACTTTGGGCAAGGCAAGTCACTATCTCTCAGCCCAGCCTATCTTACAGGATTGTTGTTGTGAGGATAACATGAGATAGGTTTCTGTGTGTATTGTCTTGCATTCCTAGAGGTGGGATATAAAAATAATAATAATACTGATGTTGTCAGGTGCTAATGGAAGATGGACAAACCAGTAGTTAGTTGGAAGGAGAGACTCAGTTTAGGCGTATTCTGATTATAAACAAAAGGTTATTTTACAGGAAGATTGGCTGTCTACTTAGGTAAGCCATGTGGATGACTTATCTACATTATCTGTGGTGATATTATACAAACTCATGTGTTTCTGTTTTCCCAGGTTATGGATCAGGCTGTTATGGTTGGTGCTCCTGTTATTGGACTGAATGATTCAGGAGGGGCCCGTATTCAAGAAGGCGTAGAATCTTTGGCTGGTTATGCTGACATTTTTTTAGTGAGCAACCTGTCAATTAAATATCCGTTGACCCAACAAATAGTGATATGAAGTTTTACCTTATAGTTTAATAACCACTTTAAATATTCAGAAAAAAGGAACTTAAAAGAGGCATGACTGATTCACTGTTTTCTGCTGCTTTCAGGTTTTATGCAAAGAGGAGGTACTGATGTCATGATCCAAGGACAAAATGTATAGCTCCTGTCCCTTTGTGATATGCTGTTAGGGAGAGGTAAGCAGCTTAATGTCCTCCAAATGTTTTGTACTGCTTCTCCCATAATAATTTAATAATAATAATTGCCCATAGCAATTGGCACTTACAGTGGTTCAAAACATCTGCAGGCATCAAGTTGCCTATCTTTATGTTATGGAGTTTTGAGGTAACATTGTTAGAAGTGACAAAAGATGTCTCCTGAAATAAGTTTTGAGAAAGAGAGAAAGTTATAAGGTATTCTTGGTGCTATTGTCCCCCTCTGTTGCTTTTGCTAATACTTTTAAAAATTCCCTCCCCCCCATCAGTATTTTATTTATATTTAGGAATATTTTAAAATTCATTTATTTGTCATTTTTAAAAGAAAAAAAAAACAGAAAAAATAATTGATGTAGAAATACAGTATCAAGTGGACAAAAAAGTTACTGAAGTTAACAGTTAGTGCTCAGTATATTGTTGATGGAAAATTAATCATAACAATTCAGAATATATTAAATTATTTTTACAATAAGAAAAAGGATCTTTTGAATCTCTGAGCTGAGTGCCAAAGTCTTCACTATTTTGTTATTTAAGAATACAAAAAAAGTAGAAAGAAGAAAAACTACTAAAAAAATATGGGTAAATATTTAGTTTCTAACTTCCTCTTTGTTGTACTCTGTCTGATATATTATAAACATTTAAAATTATCATTATTTCTGATTTTAGTTCTTTGGTCAATATTTGGTGAATATTGATACTTAATGCATTTTTACTGTTTCATTTTATTTCTATTCTTGTCCTTATAATTAAGTGCCCTGCAAGAAGGAAACAGCTGCAGCCATCATCATTCACATATAAGCCAGGTCAAAAAAAAATGAATGAATGAATGAAGTGACAGTGACAGTGACAGTGACAGTGACAGCGACAGTGACAGCGACAGCATTCTTCTCCTTGCTGGGAAAACAGTCCTGAGGCAAAAGGGCAGAAAAACTATGCAGCTTTTCATTTGCTTCTGTCTATAGCAGCTGTTAGATGTGGCAGGTGTTCTGCACAGGGGTGTCAGGACACGCAGAAGCTTGTTGAGAGGCTGCTAGATGAACTGGCTCTTAGTTGTGGATTCTTAAGAAGAAGGATGAGAGTTTATGATCTTGCTTAGTGATTGAATCAAAAAGATTAGATCTGATTTATTTTTCTTTCTGTAGAGTTAGATAGTCTTCCTTTATGGTTGTTCTTTCTAGTTTATTGTAAAAATGTTAAAATCTAATAATGTATGATTTTCTGCAATATGGATTTAAGAAAGATGTTTGGCAAGTATAAAATGAAAGAGATAATTTTTTTCTTTTACAGCGAAATGTTTTATGTTCTGGAGTAGTACCACAGATTTCACTTATCATGGGTCCTTGTGCAGGAGGCGCTGTCTACTCTCCTGCTTTAACAGATTTCACGTTCATGGTAAAGGTAAGGATGTGGTATTAATTGCCATTAGTTGTGTTCCAAAACAATATTCCATGGAAGCAGTGAGTCTCAGCAAACATATTCAAACTTGATTCTTAATGAATATGATCAGGAGTCTGCTGTTCAGGTTGTGCTTAGGTAAAGAATCAGAATATGGGTGCTTCTAGGCAAATCATGCTGAATATGAATGAATAGAATTTTCAAAGGAAACAAGCTTGGCTTGTTACGTTTAAAGTCAAGGAAAATACATTGAAGTCCACAATTTCCAAATTGCATTACTGCTTGCTCTCCCATATTTTGGCCTCCACACAGAACCCAAGTTTAAAAGAAGCCTTCTGTTGAAGCCAGAAATCTTTTTTCTTTAAATTTGTATTGCTTTAATATGCAGAAGAGAAAAACCAAAACAAAAAAGACACAGAAAAATGATTTTAAAAAGTATAATAAATATAAGCAAAAAGGAAAAAAAATGATAGATACTGTATATAATAGAATAACTATATAAGAAAATATCTCAGTTTTCTTAACAGCAGATTAAATCTTGAATACATAGAATAATATCAGGAGTGCTTTCCATAATGTGGATAACAAGCTAATTCGTAAGTTGAGAGCACAAATTATTGCTCCAGGATTTTAGGTCAGATATAGCAGATTCTTTCTGGCAGTACGTCATGCATGATAAAGCTAGACTGCTTCATGGATTGATAAATTCCATATTTTTGCTATATAGTTCAATATCCCATTGACATCTTTAAATCCTATTTCTCTTTCCAACATCATTTTAATAAACATATTACAGTACTATGAAACCAAACTGGGAGACCCTTAGAAGAAGTCTACAACATGTGTATCACTGATCCCAGCAACGTACTGCATGTCCAACATATGGAAGTTGACAGCCAAGCTGTATTGAACACCCTCTGCTATGTCCCGTAAACGCACACAAAAAAACTTCTGTTGAATTAATCATATCTAAAGATTATAAGTTATAAGAGCTATGGAACTGAATTTTGTTTCCCTTCATTTTTAGGCAAGAAATACGTAGTAGCTGTGATGTGAGTGAACACAAGCTTAATGTAGTTAAATAAATGAAAAAGGATAATATTCTTGTAACAGGAATCCTGGCTCCAACTATTTTTTCCTTATTTAATTCTTGTTCCTTGTAGGGATGTTAGTGCAAAGGGCAGGAAGAGTTAAGTCCAGAAATTTCATAGAGTTGCTTGGGAAGAAACAGAGCACTCTCTTTCTCTTCCTCTGTGCTGCACATTAATGAAGTGGTTTCCCTTTTCACTGTAAGCAGTGAGAGATAATCTTTTGGTGATTGGGAGCCACACTTAATGATTTTTGACAGACTGAAGGCTGCAGTGGGCATAATGATTATGTCCAGTGCTCCATGTTCTATAAGTAGCTGGAGCCAGGATTCTTGTTACAGGAATATTATTCTTTCTTCTTGACTTAACTATATTAAGCTTATGCTCACTTATATCAAACTACTATGTATTTGTTGCCTAAAATGAAGGGAAACAAAATTCAACAGTACAGAGGGGGGCACAGATTACCCACCTGTATGGCATAGAAAGGGTACCAGTGTTCCCTGGGCCATTTCCTTGAGCAGCAGAGCAGAAAAAGAAGGGGCTGTAGGCTGGATGAGAGGTCCATCCTGGATGGGCCTAATTTAGTTCAAAGGCTGTCAGTTCTCCACTTGTGCTTTTAAAATCCCCAGCATAAACAAAATATGACACTTTGAACTGTAACTGTCAAGTATTCAGCTTCACATACTGTATTCTTACTGCAGTCTTTATTTTAGGGCTATTGATGCATTTGCTTGGAGTTATAAAGAGGCATTATTTAGAAATTATAGGAAGGATGTTCAGACAGGAAGCATTTAGAAGTAACATATCTCAACTAAAGTTTGTTTTATATTTTTTCATATGTTTCAAATATTTTGAGAAATATTTGTTAAATTATAGATAATGAAAATGAATTTATTATTTGAATAAACATTAAGTTTTCCATTCAGTTTTTTGTAGATACTTGGAATGTTAGATTTTGCATCTCATTCTTTTCCATTTGTTTTTCTAGGATACATCCTATCTATTTATAACTGGTCCTGATGTAGTCAAATCAGTTACCAATGAAGATGTAACTCAGGAACAACTTGGGGGTGCAAAGACACATACTGCAGTATCAGGTCAGAAATGGCTAATTTATTTAATTTCACCCTTTATAATTTTATAACATTATAGAATTAGTGAACATTGTTTAATAATTGTTATCCAGGCATATAAAATTAAATAAGACTGTTGCTAGAAGATGTGAGAATAACTCTAAGATTGAGCTATTGGAATTGCTCACTTTTACATGTATATGAGTTTGTGTGTATGTGTATGAAAGATTAAGGAAAAGTATATCAGAAGAATTCAGTTAGATCAACAGGCCCACCTAAATCACCAATACTGATTCCAAAAGCAAAACATCAGTAAGTAACAGGTTCATTGTTACTGATGCTATAAAGGCAGCATCTTACTCCCATTGTCTCGTCTTCTTGAACTTGGAGAGACAATGGATCAAAATGTGGTCATTCTCTTCAGCTATATTTAGCTATTCTGACTATATACTGACAGAGAGAGAGATCCTCTGTGAATTTAAATTTGTGAAATCTTAAGCAGGCTGCTCTTACTAAATGTGACAGTGTTTGAACACAATGATGAGCACAGAACAATAAATAAAGCAAACTGCTGATTATGCTTTGCTCCTTGCTGAATTAACCAGAAACTAAAAACCTACCTAAAAACCTATTCTAGAATTAGAATTAGAATACAGCTAGAAATACAATCCAGGCTTGTCTTGCTTTATACATCTGTGACTTGTTTTAGAGTGACCAGCTAGAATCCTTATTTCATATGACATGTTAAATGTTCAGTCTTATGGCATTTTAAGGGTACCAAAAATAGAAACAAACATCCAATTTATTTAGAATAAACTAAGATTAAACTAAGATTCTACAGAATGCTTGCTTATTCTTTTTGAATTGGGCCACTGTGTGAACTTTGCTTTCATTATGTATTCATGAGTTGCAGCCTTATATGGAAGGGAAGGCCACTTTTTCTCTCTACCTCAGCTACATTCATAATTCTTAAACTATTTATCTCATACCCTTGAATTACTCTCTTTTACTAGTTCAAAAATATTCCCAAATTTTCTGGGAGGGAGAGGATTCCTGTTATTCAGTAATGATAAATATTGTTAAAGCAAATGGAAACTATCACTTTCAGTTTTGTTCCTTATGAACAGAGAGTAATTAAAATTGAAGAATTCAAAGCATACAAAGAAGTTGTTTCTCTAGGTTGGAGAATCCATTTGCGATGTTTACTGTATTCCTGAAGGTATCCTTTTACTAGACAATAATAACATCCATTTGTAATGTAGTTAATGCTACAACATCCAACTAGTGCCCTCTAGATCCTGGCAAAGGTCATGTTGGTTGGAATTCTAGAAGGTACTTTCTAAAATTATTGGAGCAGTTGAAAGAACATTTAAAGTCATTTGCTTTCAAAATTTGTTAGGAGAAGTCATGTTTCATTTTCTAGACTTTAATTATTTTTGGTTGTTCATGTTGCTCTTTGATCAGTGCAAGCGTCTTTAAAATAATATAGTAATTAATCTTTTGCAATTTGAATTTGCTTTTCCTTTTCTTTCTTACAGGGGTTGCACATTGTGCTTTTGAAAATGACATAGATGCTTTGCTCAACCTTAGGGAGTTTTTTAATTTCCTACCACTTAGCAACAAGGAGCCAGCTCCTGTCAGAGAATGCCATGACCCTAGGTAAGTAAGTATAAAAATATTCAGAGACTCAGAGATTTGTTCCTTTATCCATTTTGAGAGTGACATTCTTAGGCAGCTCCATTATTCTTGAGTGGTGGGATGGGTGATTTACAGATATTGTAGGTACTGTTGCAGAGGGATGCTGGCCATAAAGCTAAAACGTAGAAAGCCCAAATTCTTATTTTTACAGCAATAGAACAATGGAATTTATCACATTGTTGCTCATATGATGTGCCTAACTACTTCCTTTTTTTCTTTAATTCTAAGCTTTTGTTCATAACTAGTTGACTTTTTAGTTGATTTTGTTGGTGAGCTATTAGTTGTTAGATAATGGCTGGAAATATAAACAGCCAGCTTCCCAATAATATTGGTAGGATAAAGACATACTAATTTAATACTCCACATTCAGTTATGTGGAGTATTAGGTGAATATTTACTTCATCCTCTCAATAGTCTGAATCAATATGATGAGATTTACTGAAATTGTCCTTGGTTATGCTTATGAATTACAGGAGTACTTTTTCTCATATTAATGATATACGGTAAATGTCTTGCTTTTCATTCCATTTCTTTAAAGCAACCGTTTGGTATCTGAATTGGATACAATTGTCCCAATGGAATCAACTAAAGCTTATGACATGGTGGATATTGTACATGCGGTAAGATTTGTGCATCATGATGTAACAGTACTGTGGAAAAGGGGTGGGTTTTTTTTGCCTTTTCAAATGATGTGGTAGTATGAATTATACTTGACAATTGCTATGTGATGTAAATATATGAAGTAAATTTTTGTCTTGCATATCTGTAGGTTGCTAAAATATTCCTAGTTAGAAATCCCTTGCTTGGTACACATAATTAATGTCACTGGAGAAATTAGAATAAGCACTTCTTAAGCTTTAATTTGCTGTTAACAGAATATTATCTAATCTCTGCAATTGCTCGGCCAGTCTCAGTTTTAAATGCATGATGTAGTTAGTGTCTAAATTAAGTGTCATTCATTTTACTGCATGTATAATGTATAACAAAGGCTATTGGTAATGCGCATGTGAAGGTTTAGTAATTTCCATGGCATTTAAACGATACATATTAAATGAACATACCCCTTTTGAGGTGTGGCATCCAGGTCTGCTTGTTGATCTTTCTTCAACTTTTTTTAAAAATTAAAACATTTGAATGTAAATGTGACTGAAGGGAGCATGCTTGAGGCAGGGAATTGAGTAAGGGATGGGAGAACTTTTCTTTCCTCTCTCAGAACACTTAGACTAAGAGTCATCCGTTAATGCTCCAGCATTACAGCATAAAATGGCTCCCAAGCTTGCCTGGTAGTAAGTGGATCATATTGACTTTCAATCAGTCTACTATACCTCATATGTTGCTTAAAATGAAATCATAACTTACAATCTTTGAAATTATTAGGGTTTTTCATGATGGAAAGGTAACCCCTTTGTTCAGTTCTGTTACTTCTGGGCTGCATAATCCTTAGTCTTATGAGAACTTTACTAGAAGTTGTTGCCATAGTTGAGCCACTTATTGAGCTTGTGTCACCTGAAATTGTGTCATTTTTCCTCAGGAGGTGAGGAGTTGGCTGGAATGCATCAGGATTAAGAGATTGAAACTTTTTTCCTTTGTGATGATGCTGAACAGAGCCTTTTAGATTCCAGTAATCCATGTTGCGGAAGCTCAGCCTCAAATCTTGTTGAGCCCAGCCATATTGTGCCTTATCCTTCAAATTTGATGTTCCTATAGAAATACACTGGGCTACTTCCCAATTTCAAACGGCATTAAAAGCTACAATAATTGAGGCAGTTCCGTTTGTGAGCTTATGCCTCTCCCAGGTCTCTGTCGCTGCAAAGCAAATTCCTGATACAGCATTACCTGCTGTAGTTGGAGACCCCATAAGTTTAACCAGATTATTAGTTGAGGTTCTATATACTACCTGAATCTTCCAAGATAATGATTCAATGTCCATTCTTTCTTGGAGTATTGCTGGCTGGAAAGTGAAGAGTTTAGTTATGTCCTTTTTGGAGTATATTAGCACTGTTGTTATTTTATTTCTCCAAGAAATATGGGCTATAGATGACATATTTCCACCTGAATATTCTCCTTATGTGCTTAAAGCACTACCCAGTGTAAAAAATGGAAGCATAAAGATCTCCGTGAAATTTAACATCTCTGCAATTCCCCCATTTTTTCCTCCTATGCTTCCTATTCAAATTTGTTAAAGTTCATTTTTGTTCCTTGAATACCCTCTCAAAAATTCATGAAATTTGGTGTTGTAGACTCCTGAGTATAACATGGAATGGTTAAGAAAGCAAACAAAGGGATCCTAGAACAAATCAATCCAGCGTTTTCACTCAAGGTTGCAAGTGAAAACTCAAATTATTGCATTTTGGACACATTATGTGAAGACTTAGCTCTCTTGAGAAGTCTATAATGCTGGGGAACGTGGAAAGGAAAGTTAAAAAGGATCACCAGCAGTAAGGTGAATGGACTCAGTCATGGTGACAATGGGTGCACTGTCTAAAAGACCAAGTTGGGACAAATCCTTCTGGAAAAAAAATTATGTGGTTGCTAAGAGTTGACACTGTTTTGATTACAATACTCATCAACCATACCTCTCAAAGTAATACTTTGTTAGTATGGATGGGAAAGGTAATTTTAACCCACCTCTATGTTTTTCAATGTTCTAAAAGTTACAGGAATTTTACATTACTAGAAGTAGTGAAAAATAGAGATGATTAAATACATTATTGAATAATTATCAAAGTAGTAGCTGCCAGAAATTTAAAGATTGGCCTTTATAAATGTTTGCTTGTAGTAATATGTAGAGAAACACTGAGAACAGTATGTTGAAAAATATTTTTAAAATCTTTCTTATAATCTGTTTTCCTGATTCTGATATCTATAAGTGCACATTTCATTATTTTGCTGAATATTTGAATCTAATTTATGCAGGTTGTTGATGAGAGAGAATTTTTTGAAATCATGCCCTCCTATGCCAGAAATCTAATTGTTGGATTTGCCAGAATGAATGGAAGAACTGTTGGAATAGTTGGTAACCAACCTAAAGTAGCTTCAGGTATGATCATGGTAGCTCTGTATTCCTAAGAAATCAAGTTGGAAAATTCAGTTTCTGCAAGCTGGATGGGGGATTGCTCCCAAAATATCTTGGGAATTGTCCTCTGTCCCTATTCTTTCATTCAAAGAGGAAAGGAATCAGGATGGTTTTCTTTAGCCAGGTCTTTTTATATTAATTGATAATGTTAAGTTCTGTCAGATTTTTCACTAGTTGTGGGTTTTAGCTGTCTTGAGTGCCCTCTAAGATAAGTTATCCTCAAAATAAAATAATACCTAAGGATTTTTTTTTTTTGCCACAGATTGTGATTGGTTCAATATTTTTAATATTTATGGTTGTTTAGCACTGCATATACAGAAATTGCTTTATGTCTTCATTTAATGACCTTTTGTAAGTACTCTTGATGACATGCAAAGAACTATACTTGATATTTATATTACTATAATATTTAATTACAAGTAGTCCTCATTTAGCGACCACAATTGGGACCAGCAACTTGATTGTTAAGCGAAATGGTTGCTAAGTAAAACCACAACTGTGCTTATAATCTTACTTCAGCTTTCCTTTGCTTTACAGATCTGCATAAAGTTACTTTTTCATCACCATTGTAACTATGAATGGTTGCTAAAAGAGGCAGACACTAAACAAGGACTACCTGAATATTAATAGTTGAAGCAGGCAGACAGTGACACTTTCAGTACAAATATTTAGAACCCATTGAGTTTCCTAACAAATTCTTTTATTCATACACACTTGCTAACAGCTAACTGCTGCTTCTGCCAAGTATATTTTATTGGTTTAATCTGGTAGCAAATTATGTGTGTTCAAAGGCCAAACACTGATAAACCTAGCTATTTGGAAATGAATAATAGGACCAGCCTGCAATTATATTAGGGTCAAGATTTCAAGCATTTTGCTGGATATACATAGTAATGACTACAATCGGCAACATAATTATATGGTTCTTATGAGATTTGTATTGGTTTTCTCTCTGAAAACAAATTACTGGGATTTTCTGTAGTGAGCATTTTAGAAAGTAGGATAGAAACCAGTTATCATATCTATATTAATGGCTTTATGCTCTTCTGTCTCCAGGCTGAATAGTCATTAGATGTAAACAACTTATGAGGCAGGAAGCGTTGGTGTTCAGTATTGATAAATACTGAATCCATTGGAGTTCATTGAAGTTGGGCTGCTATAACACATTTGAATAAATGAATAAAATAAAAATACTGGATAAAAGATCAATACTATTTAGTTTTAGTACTGAAATAGAGAATATTTGTCTACATATTGTATCTAAAATTTAAAAGGCTGTGTGTACAAGAGTTTATTTATTTATACAAATATTTGTTAATAAAAATGCGTATGCTATCTACTCACCAGACTCATTGCTTAAACATTTTTGTAAAGAAGCAGACAAAGTTATGCTATGATTACTGTAATATGGCATTTTTAAAATACTTTGAAATGGTATTTTACAGTAGTCCCCTTTTCTTGAAAATTAGGCTGCTTGGACATAAATTCTTCTGTGAAAGGAGCCCGTTTCGTTCGCTTCTGTGATGCTTTCAATATTCCTCTGATCACATTTGTAGATGTGCCTGGATTTTTACCAGGTAAATTGTTCTGCATCCTCCTTGTTATTTAACTGATTTAATTGAAAGATTCTTGCATCTAAGAAATAGATTTACTTTTCCTTGTAATTGCAGAGATAAACATTTTACAATTTAAAATCTATGAAAAACACATTTAATCTTTGCTGAAGCAATGTGAAATCTTCTACATTCAAAATATGTCATCAATACAGGGATAAGAAAGGATTTGCCTCTTCATTCTTCTGAACTGCCATTTCTCACTGTTCCATAAGCAAGTAACTAATTTAGTATTTATTATATGTCACAGATTTTTTAATCTGTGTATTTCTATGGAGGCCTCATATACAGAATTCAGTTGTTCCCTTGTAACTTTATATACTAGTAAAGAATGAGCACCGTGTGTGTAACTTGCGTTTTATTATTGGCATGTATTTACTAAGACAGAACACTAGAGGCTGGACTGTATGGTTCCATCTTTTTTTATGGAGACAATGGAAATATATGTTTTTGTGATAGGTGAGGGTTAAGTGTCAAGGGCCTTCATTTAGTATATTTTGGCAGAGGAAAAGGCCCCAGAGCACATGGTGATGGGCCAATATGGGTGGGACAAAGTCATATACATGGCTAGGACCGAGTGTTGCCAGCTGTAGTGGCTGGAGATTCAGATACTGGAGAGGGAATAAACGAGAGAGACCAAAAAAAAATAATTAACAGCTTTTTAAATAATTCTGGATACTTACATGGGAGAGTCCCCTTCCTCACCAGTATACAGAGGGGAACTCTCCTAGGTAAGTATCCAGGATTATTTAATAAAGCTTTGTTATATGTTTTTATTTGGTGTCTCTCATTCATTCCTTCACCAGAATCCGTACCTATAACTGGTAACATCAAGAATTTCTGGTTGGATTTTTTACTATATTAACCCTATTTTAGAGTTATATTAGTTGTACGTGTTTCCTAACTCAAAAAAGGAGGACACTGAAATAATAGCAGTGGAGCTAGTGGGGGCTATAAAGCTGCAAAAAATGATTTAGGAGTAGGGCAGCAGGTTGCCCATCCAAGAATTTTAATCACAATACTAATATTTATTGAACAAACTTGTGTCATTGTTGAATCCCAGATTATTAAAAGAAGAGCTGCACAATAAACTTTCTTATTGGCTGTAGATCTGTTAATTTCTTGTTGTAGAAGTGTGTAGAAATGCTATCATACATTCCATTCATGCTATTGTTACTTTAATAATGGCTGTGACTTCAACTCCTGTTGTTTCTAGGGACTGCTCAGGAATATGGGGGAATTATACGTCATGGTGCAAAGTTGCTTTTTGCTTTTGCAGAAGCAACTGTGCCAAAAATCACTATTATCACAAGGAAGGTAGGTTATCTGTCTGTCTGTCTGTCTGTCTGTCTGTCTGTCTGTCTGTCTACCTACCTACCTACCTACCTACCTACCTACCTACCTACCCAATTCATGACAACTCTGGGTGGTGCAGAAGTTAAAAACAGATCCAATAAAATGTGATGTAAAATTGTATTTTATAACTGCTATCTGTTGTATCTGTGAGAATATATTAATATTACAATGTATTTTACTCAGGACAGATTGCTTGCCCTCAATCATGGCTCTTTGGTCATCTGTGCATTTGCATATATAAGTATTGTTGATACCCAGTAAAGCACTGTTAGAGCATTCTAGAGGTGAACTCTTAGGCAGGATCTAGAATAGTCACCCCCTCATTACACATTCCCAAAGCTGAAGTTATGATGTGCTTCAGTTCCTTCAGCTGACACTATGGTCTCCAAGACAGTATGCTAGGCCAGTATGGGGAAGAAGATCTTATGAGTGTACAGATAATTTCCTGAAGAATGACAGTTAGAAATAAGAAATTTGTCCTCCTTCAGGATCTTTGTGTATCACACATATGGGTGATTGTATTATATTTGCTGAAGATAGGAAAGGTCTATTATTGCAGTTCAGAAGATTCAGTCTATTTGGAAGCTGCATTGGAATATCCCCTGCCAGCCATGTAACTGCACCTGAAGAAAGAGAAAATCTGAGATGAGGTTGCAGCCCTGCAAATATCTGGTAGGGTTATACTTGTTGGCAAGAGCTATGGAAGTAGCTATTGTTATAATGGAATTAACCTAGAGACCCCTGGGAAACAGAAGTTGAGAAAATGTGTAGGTCAGCATAATAGGATAAACTATCCACCAGGCCACCATATCGTGAAACAAGCAGCTGTTCTTCACACGCACACACACACACAAAAAACCTCTGGGGCTCTGTGGACATCTATAGAATATAATGACAGTTCTAATATTGTAGGAGGAAAGCCATGGTAGCATATGGTAGTCAAAATTCAGGAGTCTGAATTTTTCAGACTAACAAATTTTATTAAAAGACATAGACTTTTGCAACCTCATGAAAACTTATACCTTTTAATAAAATTTGTTATTCTGAATTTTTTACAGTTCTAATAGTGTAGATGGATTAAGAAAAAATATAAAAGGTAAGATGTCCTGATTGACATGAGACTTGGAAACAACTTTGAATAAAATAGTAATACCTGGACCTAAACAACTTTGTTCTTACAGAACATTATGAATGGGGAATTAGTCTGCAGTCGTGAAAGCTTACTAGCTTTCTAGGCAGAGGTAGCTATTAATAAAAGCTAATAAGTAGCACAGGTAGCTAATGGCTCAAAGGATTTCTTAATCAGTACCATAGGTTATTACATGCAGAAATGAGAAAATCTTTAGGGATGGAGGTTACTCAGACTGTTTAGAAATTGATGAGACAAAGTGTGTGTGTGTGTGTGTGTGGGGGGGAATAGTAAAATTGTTCAATTCTATATTAAAACCCCAATTTGCAGCAAAATAAACCTTTAGTGAAAAAAAAGCAAGTGTTTGAAATGTAACAATAAAAAATATGTAGTAACATTAAAAGAGCTATATCAAGAAAAACCAGATGTTTAAAATAAACTTAGGAAAAAATAGACACTTTGGATAGCGAATACTTCCAGGTGGATGGCTAATGGGTTGTATCCAAATGGATTAGATAATTTATGTCATTGAGGAACTGAATCTCTCTGCCACGCTGTAATCCATGAGGTCATATAGGATGCAAATACCATTAATATCTAATTGGTCTCCAGTGGCTAGTTGAAGTTACACAAGACAGTATAGTTGTTTTGACCACCATGCATGATCAGAATGATGCTGGCATAATCCTGATGAACCTTGGCAGTGATCTTTGTCAGCAGAGGGAAGAAACTTCCCAACCACCAGGGGAGAAAAAAAAGAGTGAGTAGCCATCATGATAGGATACAAAGATTTATGGCTGTGGAATGTCACATCTGGAAAATTAGTGAGGTGTCAAATGTCTAGCTGGCACTCAGTGGGTATCATTGTATGAACAGTGAATGCAGGTTACTTCATGATTACTTGTGGGAAGTAGAGGTAGAATCTCTTATTCTTCTGTGTATTTAACTTTTTCTTATAGTGGATGGTTCAGAGCCCACTGGACACTTAACTTGGCTGGCAATAATTTCCTCGATATGTTTATGGGGAGTAGCTTCAATACAGTTGCTGTCTCAGATTATGTAAAACTGTTACATCGTCACTCAGAATTGCTCTGGCACTTTAAGAGCTTTTTCCCAAAGCAGAACTCTGTCAAAAACAAAACAAAACAAAGCTTTGGCAAGTTTCTTTATAGTATTTATTGCCAGTTATTTATTTTGGCAATGTGAACAGTAGTCCATCAAATGACCTTCCCTGAACAAAAACTTGGTCCAAGGAATTAAGCATTCCTTTTATGTGATGAAGGGACCTTGTCTTTACATCTAACACATTTACAGAGTGGTGGTCTGTATTGCCAAGCAGACCAATGCCAGTAAAGGAAAGATATTCACACACTTTACTATATTTAGTTATTTTGATTTATTTGGTTGCCCACTTGTCACATGACTCTGGGTGATGAACAATAATTTAAAAATTAACAATAAAACATCAACAAAACCAAAGCGTATCATGCCAGATGCAATATCCAAATCTATCCACAATCCCCTGAAGGGGCTCAGTAAATGTCCTGGCCCAATGCCAGGGAAAAAACCACCCAATTTTAAGACCTTATAAAAGGCCATTGGGAGCTTCTGTGGTGGAGAGAGATCAGAGATGAATAAACTGAGAAATGCCTGAAAGTTGTGGAAAACATTCATTTAAATTCAAATGCTGCAGTGGTAAAAATAAGAACAAATAAATAGCTGGCTCAGCTTGGGATATATGCCCCATGGAATCGAAGATTGACTAAATGAGACTACCAAAATGTTTAGCTGTAAAACTGATATATATCTATCCATATTGGTGATGTGCAGAGACGAGAGAGAAAAAAAAAACTATGCCTGTACACACACACACACACACAATTGTAATAAAAGTACTTAAAAATATTATCTACTATATGTAGGAGAGTGTTAGGAAAAAAATGTTCTCTGTGTCTTTTGTGTTTCAAAGGACTGCTGTGTCAGTGTAGTGCATTGGAATATAAAAATCCTGCTTCCCACTGTCACAATTCTACCACCTTAGAATGAGATTTCATACAGCAGGATTTTAGTTATAACTTTAAACCTACTAAATGTTTTGCTGTCAAATGACTTTGTGACTGATGTAGCCACTATTCTGAATACTTTTTCTGTATAGTGCTTCCTTGCTTCATACCTACAAATGCCAGATGTAATGTATGAGATACCTTGTACATGCAATTTCTCCTTTGTGAATAAAGAAATGGGAAGATGAAGGCACTTCAGAAAATTGGGGTGATTAATAATAGAAATTAACATAATATTTGAATAGATATTAGTGGAAATTGTCTTGTATTATTTATGTGTGTACATAAGAATACAGTGGGGCAAAAAAGTATTTAGTCAGCCACCAATTGTGCAAGTTCTCCCACTTAAAAAGATGAGAGA